CCCCAAAGTCAGCCGTTGCTGAAACTGAGCAGCGCTGACTACAGGAAGCCCGAGGCACAGTTGCTCTGCCCCGGGCTTCCTGGAATCAGCGGCTTATCAGTTTCAGCAGCAGCTGACTTGGGGTTCTTAAGTTGAATCTGTATGTAAGTCAGAACTGGTGGTCAGTTTCAGCAGCGGCTGAATCTGGATGCCAGTTCTGACTTACATACAGATTCAACTTAAGAACAAACCTACAGTCCCTATCTTGTACGTAACCCGGGGACTGCCTGTACAGCAAACTCTCCTCCTTCAGGTCAGAGAACTGTAGTGGTAAATGCACTTTAAAGTGGCACTGGCATTTATTAAAAGAAGAGGTACAGGAGTTTTCATTCTCTTTTGCCACAGTGTTTCTGTTTAGTTTCACAGGAGTTTTATCTCCAGCAGAGTTTTGCTAACCAAGCTGAATGTACAGCACCAAATCTTTCTGTGGCAGAAAATCAATCCCCTCCTACTGCTGCTGAGTTTACATCTCCTCTGTACTGTGCAGTTTATTTGACATTGGTCTATTTCAAGCTTGTTGGGACTCCTGAAGTCAGTAAAACTACATCATGCCTGTCTTGACATTTCACTAAGACAGGGTATGTCTTTTGTCTCTCTTTCAGGTCCTGAAGTCTCAAGCTTACCTGCCAACAAGAGACCCCACGGGATCCTTCCTTATGGCCATCGACCACTGTTTCTCCATCAAGGGTCAAGGCACAGTGATGACGGGGACTGTTCTTTCTGGCTCTGTTAGCCTCGGTGATAATGTGGAGATTCCTGCCTTGAAGGTGAGTGTCTCTGTCCCCCACCCCCACGAGACAAACACACTCTCAACAAGGGCAGCATGTTTTTTCTTTCTGTTTCTTAATTTATCCTTTTATTTCTTAACTTCTTTATCTTCCTGTTATGCTGCTGCAGTCCAACCTAAGCAGGCAAGGATGGTAGGAACCCAGTCCTTTGGGATACAGTATAACTTGAAACATGGCATTATGCAAGGGCTAAAAGAATAGAATTTTAAAGGGAAATGGAAACCTAAAGGTGAGATTTGAAGAGAAGAGGCCCTGGAAAGAGAAATTTTAAACATGCTAGGCAGCCAAAAATAGTGAACCATCCACAACCCCTTTTTCTATATACTCCGCTTTACTGTCATGTGGAAGGGACAGAGAGGATGGCGGGATTAGTGCATTAAGCCTATACATTATCAAATGAACAAATTTGAATCTAATTTCCTAGATATGAAATGCCTAACAACTCAACAGTGTACCTTCCCTTCTTTGATTGAGGGCCTTGCATTCTAGACATTTGCTAGCATAGTGACCTGGGCTGTATACAAAGCTGAGTAGGTTTCCTGAAAAAATGAGGAAACTCGGAAAGTAAGAAAATGATATTGCATGTTCTCTGGATTTCATGAATGTCAGGATGCCTGAAAGGGTTACTGGGAGACTGCCTGGTTGCATTCTGCCATTTTACAGACTGGGTAGTAAGTCAAAAGGCCTTCCAAAAAAGCCCCTTTATACTTCTGTGATTTCTGTATAATCTCATCATTTTATGTTTTTTTTCCCTTGAAAATACATTATTCCTTAAAGGAGGTTTGGCACCCTTGATGAGTGTGATGGAGGAAGGTCAAATTCACAGGTGTTGGTTAGAATGTTCTGTCCCACGACTTGAGAAGCATTCTGCAGCTGCTGATTAAATTGGACCCTTCCAGTTGCACACTAACAACAATTTTCATTTGGCTGAAGAAAACTGGATGATACTCCTTTTGTAGGTCATCAGCGTAACTTCTAGGTTAGAGGATGTCACTTCAGAAGGCCAATTTGGTGCTAACAACCACACAGACTGATCATATTGCTTCCTCAGCTCTCCTCAGGCATTCTGGTCCAGTCAGGGACTGGTCAAGGAGTTTGAAATTTTGTGGTATACCAGAGCACTGTTTTAAATGGCATCTTGCCTAAAAACTCTGCCAACAGAATTATGCAGTAGAGTTATAGGGATCTAGTAAATAACACAGAGTGAACTTTAAGAGGGGGAGCTGAGTGAATAGAAGGAAATAATTCCACAAATTATTTCTTCATGTTCAGAAATTAATCTTAATTTGCTAGTGAGCCTTTCATATTTGTTTTGCATGTTTTACTGTACAATCTTTTACTAGTACAAATACTTGCTAAGAATTAATACATAGCTTGGCTATTTGTCATAAATGAATGTTGACTTGTATATTTTTCATAACATTTGCAATTTGTGCTGTGGTGATTGAAGAATAGTTCAAAACACAAATTTTATAATTGAATATGCACCTTGATATATTGGATTGTAAACTCACAATTTGGATGAACTACAGGCCAAAAATTATTGGCTCAAGAAGCCTGAGATTAAGTTTGGATGAATATATTTGAGGTTTCTGTGTTCTATTTGTGGACAATATGTAAAGAACAAAAAAAAGCAAAATAATGTATGTATTGCAGATTATTTTTTTCAGATTTATTAAGTGAAATAGGTGAGAGATCATTTAATTTAAAATTGGATTTAGAAAGAGATGAGATTTGTTAGGCAGTGATGTGGGGGAAGGAATCTTTTCCACACATGAAAAGCAGCAGAGGAGGTGGCTTTTGCGCCAACAGTGCTGAGATTGTGGGGAGGAATGAAATTGGGGATGGAGAAGATAAAATACTTTGCAATTACCACAAATAGTAACTTCCATGTTAGACTTTCTTAACACTTTACAAACGTTGATGAATTAATCAGCTTACTAGCTTGCTTAAAGCTTAGGTAAAGCTCCATGAAGGTAGAACTTGTCTCTTAGTTCTGTAAAGTCATGGGCACAGCGTTGAAATGTAGATGATTCCAACAACAACCGATGAGGTAAGTCAGTGATGTTATTCCCACTTTACAGCGAGGGGAACTGAGGCACAGAGAAGAGATGCAACTCATCCTACACCTTGCTTGTTCCGCATGTAGTAGGGCTAGTATACCTATTAAAGGTGAAATTCTTTGGGCTATGAGGTAATGGAAGAAGCACATATCACAATACACTGTGGTTCATGACTCTTACTGACCTTTCTTTGCCCTGACCCTATGATAACTGAGATTGACAGCTGGTGCCCACTGGGCATTTGGGGACACTGCAAACCAGCTGCTTTTTTAAATTTGAGGACCCCTCTCACCAAATAAGGTGGCATCACTTTCTAATTCTACTAATGGACTTCGACATCTTTGACCACTTGAACCTGCACAGAAAAGGGACACAGCAATTAAAAATAAACAGTGACATTCTCGAACGCCCATACTTTCTCCAATTGAGTCTGAGAACACCAACAGTGCATGGATTCCTTTACCTACTGAAGTGCCTATGTAAATTGCCATCTGGGGTTGATTATCTCTACTGCAAAGAGAAAAATTACATATATATGTTTTTGGCAAAAAGCTTTGACACGGCAAACTATTCTCTATCCAGGCAACTTCGTACCATTTGTTTGATAGCACTTGATTTACTTTGAAGAGCATGAACCTAGGATTTCTTCTGTGAAAACATATCAGCAAAATTCTGATTTTGAATAATTTGGGATTACTCCAGTGGTCTTTAAATCTCCACCTCCTCCTAGTTTACAAACGACATTTGTTTATATAATATGACATTTCTGCTACTACCTTTATAAAAACAGGTTGGTAAGGAGATTCTTATTAGTAATTATCCATTTATTTTAAGACTGAGGTTAATTATTAAAAAATATGTATACTATGAGAATTTAGCTAAAAACAAACAGCCTGTTTGAAAATTCAAATTTAATACTACTAATCCTTAAGGGCTTTTGTGTACAGGAACATTTCATTTCATTTGTACAAAACTGGTGCATGACTCTATCCTCACTAGTCTGCCACACACAAACTAAATCAGGGTGAGCAATAATTTTTGATGGGGAGAGACATTCCAAAATTTTGGTAAGTGGTTAAGGACCACACTTTTCTTTGGAGGGAGTGCAGGGTCTAGGATGGAGGTTGGGTGCAGAAGGGAGCTCCAGTTAGGGGACTGGAGTGCAGGAGAGTGTGGGGGGTCTGGGATGGAGTTTGGGTAAAGGAGCGGGTTGTGACCTGGAGCAGGAGCTAGGTGTAGGGTCCAGGAAGGGGTATTGGGTGTAGGAGAAGATTTTTGTCCTGGGGGAGAGTGTAGGAGGGCATGTAGGGTCTGGGATAGGGGTGGAGAATAGGGCCTCCGTGGGCCAGATCCTGCCTGCCAAGTAAGTTGGTCTGACCTGCGGAGGCCCTGCCACTTCCCCTACCCCCAGACCAATCAGGGCTTGAGGGCAGGGGGATGTGTGCAAAGGCTCCTCCTACCCTGTCCCCACCCTGCAAGGAAGCACCATGCTTAGAGTCAACTGCCAGCTGAGCAGCAGCTGGCAATTGACTTTAAGTGCTGAGCCCTTCGCAGTGTGGGAGGAGACTTCACACGCTCTCCCCACCCCCAGGCCCTAATTGGCCTGGGGGTGGGGTGGGGTGGGGAGCATGCAAAATGTCCTCCCATTGCCAGGGGCATGGTACCGAGAGGGAGCTGCCAGCTGTTCAGAACAGCTGGTGGTTTTCTTGGAAGGGAACCAATTAGGGTCTGTGGGTGGGGAAGCATGGAAGTATCCTGGCCCGACCCAGCTCCTTCCTGGTCCACCTGGGGCCACTTCAGAAATTTCTGAAGTGGCCCCTTGTAAAAAAAATTATTGCCCACCCCTGGTCTGGGTGGAAGTTGTGACCTGAAGAAGCCCCTCCCTCCTCCTCCCTTCCCTCTCCCCACTCCGGAAAAAATCCTGGGCCACTTGGGGCCATTTCAGAAATTTCTGAAGTGGCCCCTTGTAAAAAAATTATTGCCCACCCCTGGTCTGGGTGGAAGTTGTGACCTGAAGAAGCCCCTCCCTCCTCCTTGCTTCCCCCCCCCAAAATCTCTCAGCTCCTGCCCTGCAGTGGAAACTGGCCACTAGAAGACCCAGTATTCCTTCCACAGTATGTTAGGTGGAAAACGGGGGACAGAGCGGAAGGATGCGGGAGGACTCTGTGAGCTAAATTTTAACTCTAAAAGAGCCACATGGCTCACAAGCTGCAGTTTGGCCAGCCTTGGTCTACTCTAAGTACAGGTTAGATCTCCCTGGTCCTGAACAAGGGAGTTTGCCAGACCAGGGAAAGTACAACATTTCTGTTACTATTTACAATGGTATGTATGAAGTGTTCTTACTAAACAGGTGTGATTTGAGTGAGTTAGGGCTCTGATTTTTAGGGTTCATTTTATTTGGGACCAGGGAACAATATAGGAGAGGGAACTGGATGTATATAAGTATATGTTTATCCCTCCCCTTTGGTTAGAAAAAAAGGGAAGAAAGCCAGAGGGAGAGCAGCCAACCTGAGCATCGCTAATACAAACCATACGTTACATATCTGGAGCTTGTACGTGTTTAATGTGGTCCTTTATGAGAGGAAAACTGCTTGCCCAGTGCCATTTAATTAACTTCAAATGCACAATTTAAAAAACTCATTTGCAGTTTTGTAAGTGGTGCATATTCTGGGTACCCATTCCTGCCAAGAAGACTGGACATAAGCTCCTTCAAAGCTGTTTGGCCAGAAAGGGTTACTTGGAAGATGTGACTTCCTTCCTTATCCCACCGTATGAATAAGTGTCTCATCTCTGCAATGCTTCTGTCCATAAAGAATTATTAAGGAACTCTGGTGCATGGATAGGTGCTTTCTGGCTGGCAAGAAGATTATTCTCCAGAATTGGTTTTAACATCTGTAATGTTTCCATGCCCCCATT